GTTTTAGGATTATAGATAAAGCCTTATGATTAACAAAGGTATGAGGAAGCTTACCTTTGTTTGTTTATAGTTGTATGTTATATCACTAGTACATGTGAAGGAAATGACCTCGGTTGTTTTTGGTCATAGGCCTCGGTTGAGAAACCGAGGTATATCCGGACGAGGTAAAAAGTCCTCCTCTTATGCCTCGGTTGTAAACCGAGTTAGTATCTTGTCTTATACTGTCTCAGTTGAAACATGAACCGAGGTAGTAAAGTGGTTTTTTTTTTTCTGCCACACCTTGTGGAGCATGAGGAAGCAAAAGTGCGTCCAGAGACCAGAGAGAGTGGTTACACAAGCAGAAGTGCGTCAAGAGACCAAAGAACCTCTTCTCATTATTCAGTGCTTCCTGCAGGATCTCCAAAGCTTCCATGGCTTCCTCCGTGGTGCCTTCTCTCGCCCTTTCTCATCACTCCATCATGCATTCCAATTGCAGGCAAAATTTACAAAAATAAAATTGAATGATGAGTTTTGAAACTGAAGGCAGAGAACCCAAAAACGCAAAGAACCCAAAAACGCAAAGAACCCAACCCAAAAACGCAGAGAACCCAAAAACGCAGAGAACCCAAAAACGCAGAAGCCCTCGCTGCCAAAAACGAAACCCTTGCTGCCAACGAAACCCTCGCCGCGCCACCGCCGCCGCACCATCAGCTCGCCCTTGTCGGTCCATCGTCGCGCCTTTGGTTTTCCATCACCTCGCCCTTCGGTTCATCCCCTACGAAGGCGAGATCCACCGCCAGCCGCCGGCCGCCACCAACGAAGCTTGAGTTGCGCCTCCCAAAGTGTCGCCAAGCCCCAAATCGAAACCCTAAATCGAAGCCGCGGACAGGGACCGTCACGCCGCGGACAGGGACCGTCACGCCGCGGACAACCTCCCACCTCCACGAACACGGACCGTCACGCCGCGGAGATCAAGTCGCGGCGGCCGCCCCTACCTACGATAAATCGCGTCTGAACCTGAAAAGAAACAAGGGAAGAAGAGATCTCGCCGCCACCTTGCTCTGACCTCGCCACGACCTCACGATGCCTCGCCGCCACCTCACCATGCCTCGCCGCCACCTCACCATGCCTCGCCGCACTCGCCGCCAACGTTAAGTTGCTTCTGGATTTCGCATGGATGGATAAGCAAGGGGAAAGCGAATTTGGATGCGTGCTCTGGATGTTGCAAGTGAGGGAGTAGTAGAGGATACCCCTTTTTGCATTTCGGAAGGTTTATGCCTCGGGTTAGAGGACCGAGGTATTTGGAACGTTTATGCCTCGGTTGGGTTAGAGGACCGAGGTAGAAAAAAATTAACCTCGTTTAAGGTGGGACGTGGCAGAACATCAGGTCTCGATTTTATTTTTAACCGAGTTAATTTGGTTTTTATGCTTCGGTTTTTTTACAACCGAGGCATATAAGTTTGTCGAAATTGCGAAAATGCCACCGCTTCTACATATGCTTCGGTTTTCTAAAAACCGAGACGTATGACCCGTGTTCTTATCTCTATTTTGTACTAGTGTATGTGTTCTTGATTATCTTTATTATCTTGATTGATAATCCTTGTTTTGATATATGTATATGATTATATGTGGTTATTGTTGGGTAAGAGTTTATGTATGAATGAGCATAGGGTTTATGTAATATTTGTGATGAGTTTTCCCTATGAATTTATTATGTATGTTTTGTTGGGTTGGGTTTGATGCTAAGGGAGAACAAAGTTACGATGCTTGGAGGTTTCTATGCAAATATATGTTGTAAGTGTTGGGTTATAGGGCTCCCTTCCTATGTGGAGAATAGGTCAAATAATGTGGACATTATGTCTCACTTTGATTTAGTGGAGATGAGTCAGATTAATAGGGCATATTAGAGTCATTTGAAGAAAGGGAAAAGCCAAGTGAGAGAGAAAGGAAGAGAAGAAGTCATTCTTGCATAACATAAAACCTGCACTAGTGTTTTTGTTGTTGTGAAGTCGTTCACCGTTGAATTGAGTTGATTTTTGGACAGTGAGTTCCAGATGCATGGTTCTTTATTTTGAAAATCCTATTTGGTGTTTTTATCGGAGACTCTTTTGCATCCTATTATTGGGGGTATAACATGTCAATAATTGGATCTGGATTATTCAAGTGATGTATTATATGTGTTTGAGTATGTTTACATGGGTACGTGATGCTTGAATGCATGTATGATGTGTTAACTATGTTTTCACATGATCTAGGGTTGATGTATGTATGTTTGAATGCTTGAATTATGTCGAGGATGTGTTTCGATTGGACAATAATCAATTATCATTAGTTATAATTGATTATCTGCGCATTGGTTTTAAGTGTGATTTTGGGAATAATAAATTATCTAGGATGATAATCGATTATCCCTTCCTACGTGATGCTTCTGGTAAATTTTAGTGAGATAATCGATTATCTTAAGTGATAGTTTATTATCACAGTGCATTTTGGTGAAAAGTGGCAAATTTGATTAAGAATGGACGTGAACCAAACCTGAGAAGCTATGGAACATGATGATAATAAGAGATTGAGGTTAATGGTTATGTTTAGGGTGAGTTTGACTTGTGGTTGAGAGTGGAGCATGAGTGAGTGTTGAGATGTACTTGAGTATGTAATTAATGAGCATGAGAGTGGAGAATAAGTCTACTTGTTGTATCTCGTAAATCTTGGTTCTATCTACGAATATGTGCTTCCTTTTGTCTTGTGTGCACTGGAAGAAGATAATCTATAGAGGAGGCTACAGATATCCTGTAGGAGAGGCTACATGTGGGCTATAGGAGCGACTACAATCGGTGAGGTAGGGTACAAGAGTGAGATAGACTCTTTCCACTATGGTATTATAGCACGATGATGCTCATGGTGTTGATGGTGGTGTATCTACGATGATGATCATGGTACTTGAGATGCTCTAAGTTATGTTATGTTGATAATGGTGTTACTATAATGGTTATAGTAAGTAGTTAACATGAGTGCTAATGAGTGGATAGACTAAGGGTCTATGTATGAGATGTTAGTGATGACATCAAAGATTAGAGATCAAGGATCAATGATCGAAGTTCGAGGATTGGGGATCGATGATTAAGTAATTCAGTATGATTGAATTGTTTCTGTTAGAAGATTATGAATCCTTTTGTTATTACTACTATGTATGAGGTGTTTGATTATGATTAATATAATCAGAAGGTATGCATCATGTGTTTGATTATGGTTGGTATAATAAGAAGATATGTATCTTCTTGTGTGTTTTATTATAGTTGATATAATCAGTATCTATGTTCTTGTTATTATGGTTGATTTATTGGTAGCCTACCCATACATGTTTGTGTTTACATGCTTGTGAATGAAATTATCAATTATGATTGTATAATGTGTTATATATAAGCAGATAATAAATTTTGAATTTTATCAATTTTTGATAATCTTTAACATTTCAAAAATCAGAGTGTTACCGTAGTACACTAAAAACATCCACGATAAAAATTCATAAGTTTACTACTTATAAACTATTCAACATTTTCTAATATCAAATTTACATTTAAATAATCTAAATCAAAAATATAAAATAACTTTGATAAAAAAAGCTAAAAATTTGATTAGTTTTATTTTTTATACACAAATCAATTTAAATCTTTATAACATTTAGTTTTCACTATTTAAGCCTTTAATGATTAAAAAATAAATAAATAATTCTCTCAACTCTTTTAAGTAATGATAGACGTGTACCAACCAACATTTTTCTCGACAACATACCAAGACTCTTTTTTAACACTAAAAATTTAGATCCTCCCTTATCTAAATTCTAGACGAGTTATTTTAATTTATTTTTCATAAAAAAATAATTTTACTTAATAATTAATATTTAATATTTTAATATATTTTTTTTAAAGAGTGTTTTATTTTTTTTTTCGGTTTTTAACCTTTTGACGAACTTGTTTTAGTCTCTACATAATTATAAATTTTAGAAAACAAGAGAATTTAATATTTTGTTTTAATTTCATTTCAGAAAAATAATTTCATTTTAAATGAAAATTGAAATATGAAAAATAATTGATTTCATATATTTTTAAAATTGGGAAGATTAATTTATCGATTTAAAAGTATAGCTACTAAAACTAAAGAAATGTATATATATATATATATATATACTAAAATTTACTTTTTATCCTCTAGTATTACTTTACTTAAAATTTATTTCAATCATTAAAATAGTTTTGAAATTGTGTAATAATTTGTAGTATTTAATTGATTTAAATAATGGTAAATGACAAATAATGTTTAAATTTGAGATTATTAAAATTCAAATTATGTATTAAAATAATTGATGAACTATGAACACTTATAATCCACTTCTTTGAGAAAAAGTGGATCATACCCACAAAAGGCACAAAACAAATAAACAATTTCCAAAATATCTATCATGAAAAAAATATGAAGAATAGGGTGAAGTCTTCCACTGAACGTATTTCTTAACCGTTTTAGGCTCAACGGTTATTGGCATGCATATGCATATTTTATTTATTTATTCATTTTTCATAATAAAAAATAGTTACTTTTAGATTAATTAAAGCTTTATATTATATTCAGTTATAAAACAAAAAAAAAATCGAGTTTGAAGACAAGGAAACTACTTGATTTTGTTGAAAATACATAGTATAGTCCAATTTCAGTATAAAAAAACTAAATACATACTTTCAGTCTTTTACTCGAAATAAGTAATATATACATGTTTTAAACATTTAATTATTATATATATATATATATATATATATATATATTTAAAAGAATAAAATAAATAAATTAAAAACTCCGTTTAGAATTCGGATCGGGGACCTTACTACGGGAATCGCTATTAGTTTCTTAATAGATGAGGGTAAGTTAAGAAATTATGAATAATTGTCCTGTATTTCCCGAAACTCTAAAATTTTCTATGGAGCATTAAAAGTATAATTTATTATTGGATTGGAGCTACGTAGAATAGATACAAATCTGAATTTTAAGTTTCAACCCTTTCTTCTGTTACTGTGCTTAGAGACTCAGAATCCCTTTCTTCTTCATCTTCTTCTTCTTCTTCTCAAAGGCAATCTCATTCTCATTGCTTCTATCTGTAGCAAAGACCTTCAATGCCACACTTTTCAACGCTCCCAATTTTCAAATCCATTTTCTAGGTACTGTATTGTCTCAATTTCCTCATTCTTCTCAATTCATCCTCCATTCTGCATAATCATTCCCTTTTGAAGACATCCCAACTTCGTGATGATATCTTTCTGAGCTTAATCTAGCTGTATCAGATCTTGGGTTTCTCGTTAAACTTCGAGTGAATCTTGAACTCCAATGAAATAATCTTTGTTTTTTAGTTTTTTCATTCATAAGCCCGCCCCCAAAATGGAGATTTCGACTGGAGGTTGTTCTCCCAGAATCAGGTCTGATTACCCCAGGAAGGAGGGATCCGAGGGAACCCCTGTTAAGCAGTTTGAACTCTCTGGTCGTGATCGCAATTATGAAATGCAATCAATGAATGCTTTGGATATTCTCAGAGAAACTGTTAGGATTCTTAGGTTCGATTCATGGGGTTTCATTGCAATCGCTGTTATGCTTATTTGTCCTGTTTCTGCTGTGCTTTTGTCCAATGTGATAGTGGATGTGTCTATTGTGAAGAATCTATCTATTAGGCTTATGTTGGTTGCCCAAGCTAGTGGTCTTCCTCTGAGACCAATTATCAAACAGTCCTGTCAGCGATTTGCAGAGACCGTGGTTTCTTCAGCCGTGTGCTTTCCTTTGTATGCTACATTGTTGTTATTGTCCAAAGCTGGTGTTGTCTATACCGTAGATTGTACTTATTGCAGAAAGAGGTTTGATGCTTCCAAGTTTTGTGTGATTGTTTCTAAGATTTGGAGGAAGATCCTCTTCACATATCTGTGGGGCTGTGCGCTTGTGGTTGGTTGCATCACCTTGTTCTGTGTTTTCCTTGTTGCGTTCTGCAGTGCATTAGCTGTTCTTGGGTTTTCCCCTGATATTGTTGTGTACTGTGCAATGCTGGTTGGGTTGGTTTTCTCTGTCGTCTTTGCCAATGCCATAATCATCTGTAACATTTCGATAGTGATCTCTGTGTTGGAGGATGTTTCGGGAGCGCAGGCAATGCTGCGGTCTAGTATTTTGATCAAGGGTCAGACACAGGTTGGTCTACTGATATTTCTTGGATCGACTATAGGGATGGCCTTTGTGGAGGGCTTGTTTGAGCACAGAGTAAAGACATTGAGCTATGGTGATGGATCTTCAAGGGTGTGGGAAGGGCCACTCTTGGTGGTGATGTATTCATTTGTAGTGCTTATAGATTCCATGATGAGTGCAGTTTTCTATTTCAGTTGCAGATCTTCTAGCCTGGAGGTCTCAGATAGCGAAGGCAACTCAATTTTAGAAACTATGACCATTTCTGCTGAATCAATGGGAATTCAATGACATTGTCAGCATGGTATTGATTGTGCCAATTGAATGAATAAGAAGAAGAGGGAAGCTGTAAGCGTTTGTTCCCTGAAAACTGGGTTGCTATTGAGGAACCTTGCAAGTTGCAACATTTCATCCTTTGAGCATTAGATAGGAAAGCTACGTAGAGGTGATGACTTTGAATGGCTTTACCTTAACGAGCTAGCTCATTTCAGCGTGCGGAAATTACCTTTTAGTTATATTACAAATATGAAGAAAATGAAAGCCGGATAGTCAATGTATTTGTTTTTTGAGTGTTAGTAGAAAAGAATATATTTTATAGGCAAATTTAAGAAACTAATTTGAAACAAACCACATTTTTGTTGTTATATTGTTATACACACTTTGAAGCTCCTGCCTTCATAATGTATTGGGTAACAAATTTTCTGCTGAATTGATCTATTGCTTCAAACATTTATAGCTGCAACCAACTCATGTAGAACAATAAATCACTAAAATCAGTACTATTTGAGAAAAATGTCATAGGTGAGTGAGTCTATTGAATTCTGTACTTTTATCTGCCTCATTATTTGCTAATATATCTTAAGACTTAACGTTTCTTTCTTTTGTTCTAAAATATTTAGGGGTCTTTCAAGGTTAAGGAATCCCACAAACCTCACCGAGAGGTCTTAGGTTGGTATTTTCTGATCCGCCTGTTAAGGGAGAGTACTTGCCGTGAGGTTTGAAAGTTTGTTCCCAGTTAAATGGTCTTGATGCTCTTTTTTTTTTCAGTTTTTATTACATTGTTAAAATTTATACATATAAAGAATAAGTTTATCTGTTGATATTCAGTATGCTCCGAGTGGATTCTTGAAAAAAGTATCCAGAGCTCGTTTGTACCAAAAAATCTCTCATGTCTAGATCACGAAGGAATTCACCTTCTGATTTTACCATGCAATGAATGATCTTTCTGTGTGCCTAACTGCTTGTTCCTTCAAGCTCTATGTAGGAGAATATTTGTTATACTTGTCAAAATTTTGTTGTTCCACATGTTGACCGAACGAGGTTATAAAATATAAGTGTAGTATGATGATCTGCTCCTTCAATTTGCAACGAAGTTGAGCATGGCCATTCTACTTCCATGAGTGCACCAACCTTCCCTTTTCTACACAATGATCCACTACTAGAAGTACCTTACTAGAGAGCAAAAAATACTACGGTTGAGGCTTATTTCATATGGCAAGCAGGGTATTTCGTTCTACTTTGTTGGTTTTAATTGCATTTGTGGTTGGTAATTTTTTGTCAAATATTGTTTAGCAACCTATTTTATTCTTAAAAGAGTGTTAGTAACATGTTCTTAAACAATCCTTTTAATACACTCTTATATTGGTTACAAATTATTAGAAATTACAAGATTATGGAAAATTGGTGAAGTAAGATTCTGAGATCCACGAAATTGTTATTTTCGATAAATTTCAATCAACAAGAGTGTGCGTTTAAAATAGTGTATTTCTAGCATTTCTCTTCATGCCAATGGCATATTCAAGGATATTTTTGGGGCCAAATTTTAGTGGTCTACATATTGCGGTGTTAAGATGTGAATGAGAAATGCTCAAATCTTCTTATGCAAGACTAAGGTTCTATTTGGATAATTTATAAATAAACACTTTTTAGGAGAAGAAAATAAAAGAATAAAATGAATTAAGTTTTTTCATAACTCAAAATCAACTTGTGTATTTTAACTTCAATTAAAAGTGCTTGCACCTAACTTATCTAAAAGCTAATGTTTACGTTGATTTTAGGTAAGGAAAAAGATTGATTCGTTTTATTTTCTTTTTGTGCAAATACTACTTGTGGAACTTGGCAATAATACCAAATCCAGTAATAAAATAGTCAGTAAAAGTTGTATTTATAGAGAGACTTGTGTGATAAGTAGACTTCTTGATTGCAGACATTTAAATAATAAGGTAACCTAATTTAAAACACAAGTGTATACAAAATAAAAAATTACAAATTTTTTTTTGGAAATTTATCGTATTGTTAATGTGCGTGATAGGATGAATGTAAAACACAGAAATGAGATTGTTGGGGTTTAAGTTCTTTAGACTTTTTGATATATAATTATTGTGTTATTTTACTTAAATGAGATTGTTAAGTTTTAATATCTTAAACGAGGGAATATAAGTTACTAGATTATAACCCAAGTATACAAAGACGCTTGGTAAGAAAAACAAAAACAAATATAAGAAGAAATATCACGGAGAGAAAACATCCAACATATGATACTGAGTTAAAATCACTCATAAAACCTTTTATACCGTATAACTAGTTGGTCAATGTAATCCCTTACGTTGATTGATCGGACAATCTTGTCAACCGTATTTTTCCAAACAATTGAAAGAGGTTATATATGTTATAATTGTTCGATTTATGTTTCAAGAGTAATCAATGGATAAGTACAAATATAAATAACTCTTCATAAACCTTACACAATTAACCGAAACAAAATTTGTTCAGGAACATTTAGGTTATTTGGTCAATCCTAATTAAAAGTTCACCTCGAAACCTATAAATACATAAATAAGTGAGAAGGTAGGTGATAACATTTATTTTGAAAAATATTATATTGTGCGTTGAGAATGTTTTTGACAGGTACATCACCGCCTAAAGACTAAATCATAATAACAGGTAACGAAAAAAAGACTAATGCCTAAGTGTAGAGAAGTAGTTTTTGACCTCACTATTCGAAACAGTTTTCATTGTACAAGTATAAGAATAACTTATAGTATTGTTTTGTGATTTAGAAGATATGATAAATCAAACATGATTTTTATTCGATGATTAACTGTGAATTCAATGTATTTTTTTATTCGTGAACACACAGTATTTAGTACAGTCAACTAACAAGTGGGAAGAAACAAAACTAGCTTGCTGAATTGAAGAACAACGAAGAATGATTCACAAAATCCAAGAACATTCACTTTAAATTGTAATTCACAATTTACTGATACTAGTTTTTTTTTATTATTATTTACTCAATTTGACATAAAGTACAGAACAAAAGCCTTATCATGTCACAAAACTGAATTAGCTTTATTTGTAATGAAATTAAAGAATATGGGTTAGACCCATCTCAATAGTACAAGATTAAAAGAATATGAATTCTACTCCAATTTTATTTTCTTTGAAGCAAGAATGAAAATAAAAAAATGAGGTCCGAAATGAGTGGAAGAAAATATTGTTCCTCACTAGGTCTAACGTCAGAGTTACCATCCTAAAAAATTTTCCAATGGAAAATGTTATTTGGACAACAAAAGTTTGACACAATTTTGACAACGGCGACGTGGCAGCTGTGCATTGGCTCAGTGAATTGAAAACAAACCAGAAAAAACCCAAAATACCCCTCACCCCGGTTCACTGAGCCAATGCACAGCTGCCACGTCGCCGTTGTCAAAATTGTGTCAAATTTTTGTTGTCCAAATAACATTTTCCTTTTCCAATTCCTTTCCATTTTCTTGTCCAACTTGTAGCCTCAAACACTCAGACACCCCTGTTAAGGTGTAAAAACAAGCAGAGAATTTACGTTCATACTTCATCATAAAAGTTTCTCTGCCTAACGCTGAATCATCAACATCGTAATATTTGTTTTCCTCTATCGCTCCCACCATCTCTTCTGCTATCTCAAACGGACAAAAAGAGTAACTCAGTGATCCACCAGACTCCAAAAACTGAAAATCACAACCTTCAAACTCTCCTTTACCACTCACAATCTTCTTCTCTTCATCATAAACATTCTCAGCAAAATTATAAACGAAGCTGAAATCTTCCCCGCTACCCTTCTGGTTACAATCGTCTTCATTAGTTCCACAGCTATAGTCACAAGTAGTCATGGCAGAAGAACTATAACTAGCACCATGATAACTTTCTTCAACAATCCCATTTACTTCCATGTCTACAAAATTCTCGTAGTGGGGTTCTTCTGTTTGGAGATATAATTTAGGTTCTGGTTCTGGTTGAGGCTGAGATTGAGGTTGAGGTTCTACTTTGGTTTCTTGATCATAGTGGTTACTCGGAAAACGAGTACAGGATTCAAAGTTTCTAGCTTTGAGTCTATGAAAGAGGAGTTTGGCAATCTTTGGAGGAAGAGCAGAAACATAAGGAGAAGATTGGGAAGGAAAGAAGTTTGTGCGAGTGTTGGCACCACGAAGCAAACGTGCTGCTTCATCATAAGCTCTTGCAGCATCTTCAGCATTGTCGTAAGTGCCTAACCAAAGTCTAATGTTCTGAATGGTGTCTTTGATTTCAGCCACCCATCGCCCTGAGGGTCTTTGTCTCACCCCAATGTAACGTTTGTTAGCTCTTCTAGCTCCAAGAATAGCAGCAGCCATTGAAGCTGCTTCTTCCCTCAGTTTTTCCCATTCTGTCTTCCCTTCTTCACTCTTCTTTTCCCCTCCTTCACATTCCCATCTTTTTCTCTTGTTTGCCATTTTCCCCTTCATGATGCTTTCTTTTACGTTCGATCGGTAGTGCATTGCAGCATTGGCCAGTGCACGCATTTATAGCCAAGTGATTGCAGAAGCTGTTTAGTTGAAAGTGAGATATTTGGAATCTCAAATGCTTGTTGCTTCCTTTTGTTCCAACTATGAATTGGCTTTCTTTCTTAACTTGTTTTTTACTTAAAAAACAAACCTTGGTACCGTACATATTTCGCTTTCATTCTGGGGGAGATTACAAGACGTATTTCACAATGAATCTGGCTTTTTCATTTTGGCTTAGTATATCTTGCTTGAACTCACTAATTATCTACCTTTGTTTTAAGCTGAAATCATAGAATTTATTGGAAAATGAATATTATTATTGCATGGTTACATAGCAACTAGAGATTCTGGATTTCAAGAGTTAGAATTTTTTTCACTCCTTTTTATGTGAACAATATGGTGAAGTGTTTAGACACGAATTAGATTAAGATTCTCTGAGAGAAAAAAAATAGAAAAAAATTTAAGAAAGAAAGAAAAAACTATTGAAGTTTTTTAGAAAAAACTATTGAAATTTTTAGAAAAGACCTAATTGAGAGAAACTCTTACTAATTTTTAATCATATTAGTAAATAAACTTATACTTAATTTAATCTCACAAAATCAATATCCACAAATAAGCATTATATCTCGTATAATCGAACTTTCTTCATAATTAATATAAAATCTTTTTTTTTTTATAAATCATATTCTTCATAATTAATATAAAATCTTTTTTTTTTTATAAAACAGATTTGTGTGTTGGAGTTTGTTCGATAAATTAAGATTAGTTTCCGGCATGTGTATAGCTTTTGTCAATGTCAAAAACCTTGTAGAAATCACCTTTTACATCAGTCACAAAAGCATATGCCTTAGATTGATACTTGTACGATGAGATAAACTCAAATCTGTTTTCGTATTTATTAATTATACAAGTGAAACTATATGCATGTGTTACTTTTTTACAAAAAAAAAATAAATTATAGATATAAAAATAAATATAATTAATTTTTACAATTTAATTATAGATAATTTTTATTTATTTAGTATATTACTTTTATATATTAGATTTAAAAAAAGTAATTAAATTAAAAACGTAGTTAAATTTAAAAATCAATTAAATTTAAATAAAACAGTAACTTGTAAAAATAAAATAAATAGATAAAAAAAAATACTCCTTATATATAAGCACACATTCTTGTTTATCTTGCAAATGGTGGTTTATTTTTAGTAAATAATTTTAAAATGTGGTAATAACATTTTTTTTTTAAATTTACACAAAGAAACGTTAGTCCTATTAAAGTTTGCTTGCATGTTACAATATTTAAAAGAGTTTATGATCTGTCTCACGATCGATGATATTCACTTGTTGGTACTCTAATATCACACGGTTCTATTGCTGATAAAAAAAATAAAAAAAAATCACCTGGTTATATATTCCTCAGCTTTGCATCTTCAATTTAAAATTACATTTTATAAAAAATTACATTAATTTTTTTTTTTTGCGTTTCAAATTTGAGTTATGTTAATGTTTAATAGTTTTTTTCAGATTTAGGAGAAGTTAAAATTTTCATTTATAATAAATATTCACTAGTTTAATAAGTTTGAAATAAAAAAAATATATAAACATGGATTGTATATATACACACAATGTCTTCATCTTTTATTATATTTTTATAAATATTTACATAATTGGTACCCTTTTTCTTACAAATTTAACTCAAACATATCATTACAGTCTTGAATATTACTTCTATTTTTTTTTTCTTTCTAATGCTTTTGTTTATTGTGTTAAGTTAATTTAGTATATTACATTATTTGTAAAAATAATTAATCTTTTTCATTATAATCAATTGGTTTTTAATCATCAAGACAAAGTTATGTAACTTAGAGTGCTTCAATCATATAAAAAGACCTAAAATATTGTGTACAAGAAAAATTAAAACATGACGACATAGTGTTCTTGCCTTGAGCTGTTATGTTCCTTGCAAGCCCACTAAAATAACTACAAGCGAATATTTGAAATACTTGGCTAGCCAATTTATGTCAATTTCTCCACCAACCTTACAAATTCTATCACCTTTATATCAGTCTATCAATAAGCTGAATAATAATAAAAAGTGCGTTTCTTTTTTCCTAACCGTTTTCTTTCTTCCTTCCAATCTGCGACATTATCGCTCTTTTTGTGATATGGAACAACATGTCTAAATAAAAATAAGCTTACACTTTCGATAGCATCACCTCTTATCACTTTGTTTTCATGGTTGACCAAAGCAAGCGTGTTATGATATCAAAGCTATGTTGTATGACTCTGAATTTTTTTTTCTTTATTTATTTTATATATTCTTTTCTTTGTGGTTTCAGATAGAAACTAACATTCACTTAGATATTTTGAATATGTTTTTGGTGTATGTCATACTTTGTCAATCACACACTTATAATTTATACACTTACATATTAGCTTTTTACCTTTAAAATATTGCTTAATAACCATTATATTAAATTATTGAATCCTTCCACTCTAAAATTGATAAGGAAAACGTTTCTTCAACAACAGATTTTTGACAACAATTTGACAACAACACGTGTCTCACTGTCATTGGTTGTTTTTATTAAATTTTGTTTAAAGATTCATTTTGTTTTGGAGGGTATTTTTGGAATAATTTTTAGAAACTTTTTGGCGCTTTTCAGAAACCCTGCAAAAGTCTCTTTCTTCATTTTCGAAACTCTCTCTCTATCTTTTCGAAACTTTCTCTCCCCCTTCACTGAAAGATCCTTCAAAATTTTATCTCCGTCATTGAAGTTTCTTCCTTTGAAACTCTCTCCGTCATTGAAGTGGTGTCTCTGTCCACCGTTGTTCGTCCGTCGCTTGGGTCCACCAGTGTCTTTGGAGGAAGTCGTCTCTCTCTCTCCGCCATTGAAGTGCTTTCTGTGCGCCATTTCTCCAAAGCTCTCGTTTTTCCGCTGACACCGTTGTTCCTTCGTCGCTTAGGTGCATTGTTCCTTCCTCTTTGGTTAGCGAGTGGTTTTGTTGACATCATTTCTCCAAAGGTATTGTTTTTTCGTATAAACAACCTATAAACAATGGTGCAGAACGTCACTTCTCAACCTATAAACAACCTTCGTGGGTCTTCCATCCACATAGGACTCACCAAACTCGAAATTGCTTGTTATGGACACCTTAAACCATGGCCAACAGGGGGATCAATCCATAAAAACTTGAAAACACAGTCGTCAGGACTGTTGGGGAGTGCTTCAGCCATGTCTGGGTAGCACTCCTTAACTTTTGGTACAAAAGGGGATTTTTCCACTGGTGCAGGGAGCACACCCAATAACGTTTAACTCACTCACCCATCTCAAAAAATGAAAAATTCAACAAAAATAGAGAATGGGGAGTAGTGTTCATCTAGCTAGGGAGTACAGTTGAAGTTTCTGTACAAAATACCCATTTTCTTTTGGTAATCGATTACAGGGGTCTTGTAATCGATTAGCAGAGGAAAAAGCGTAATTTGTACAGAAACTTCAACTGTACTCCCGAGCTAGATGAACATTGCTCCCCAACTCTGTTTTTCTGACCTTTGCTACTTGTTTTGTTCTTAAATTTCTCCACCGAACTCCAAATGACTTGATTCTTGTTTTGTTGGAATCTAGACTCAAAGATCTTTCCAACAAAACAAGAATCAACTCATTTGGAGTTCGGTGGAGAAAGTTTTGAGGAAAACAACCAGCAAAAGTCAGAGGTGGTAGAAATATATAAAACGTTAACTTTAAGGAATTAACTGCACCTACTCAGGTGTCCAAAAATTATAAATTAGTAGTCATTGGAAAGATATTTGAGTCTACTTTCTAATAAAAAAAGAATCACATCATTTGGAGGTCTGTGGAAAAAGTTATGATTAAAATAGTCAGCAAAGGTCAAAGTTGACAGCATGGGTTATGCACCTCACCTCAATTGGAGAAAACCACCTATAGGTGTTTGAACCAAGGTAGTTCAAGTTCATGACAATTTTTGCACAACTCGTAGAGGAAGAAGTTATTAACTTCTGCAATCAATTTGATCGACAACCATCTTCTTAGATTACATTTCATTGTATACTGTTATGTATCTTTTCATTTCAAAACTTGTTGTTTCGTGAAATGTCATTACGTTTTTTTATTAATGTATGTGCTTTTTAATATTGTTATAATTTTTCATTACTCAATACCCTTCATTATTTCGTTTATATTTGTTTAATATTGAAGTATTCCAACTTGAAGTGTTCCATTAATGATCCATCCATAAAACCTTCAAAAGACAGTCATAACGAATCCAAAATATTCCTGGGGAGTGCTTAAGCCACGTCTGGGTAGCACTCTTCAACTTTCGGTACAAAAGGAGATTTTTCTACTGGTAAGCGATTACCAGCTCCCTGTAATCGATTACAACAACATCAGTTCTTTGTCAATGGTGCAGGAACTCACCTCTCAACCCAGAAACACCTTAACTTGGTCTTTCAATGATGACGAACAAACAACTGCAAAAATGGAGGAGGGAGAACACTGCTATGAAGAGAGAAGTTGAAATGAAATTCAAATCCCTAAAATGGAGAGAGAAGACAGTGATAAGGAGAGAAGATAGAGTGATAAGGAGAGAAGATAGAGTTCGAAAACGAAGAGGGCAGTTTCGGAATCCAAACTTCAACCCATTCCAAATCAGATTTTAAATTAAAAAAAACATTCAAATTCGACCAATTAAAACTTGACACGTGGCGTTGTCAAATCTTTGTCAAATTGGCGTTGTTGGAATATCGCGATCCAATTGATAAAACTCTTTAAACAAATAAACAACTCAATTAAATTTATCACTTTTAAATTTATCCTAACAAAACTATCCCTTAAACTTAAATGTTTCTTCTATCTTTCATCTATACTTTTCCAACTATATCAACCCCTCGAACTTGTTCTTGTCATTAAATGTTGGGTTCTTCGGTTTTACCTTGGCCGACTTGGTAATCAGGTTCTTCTTACCTTCATCTTCATCTTTTGAAATACCTTTCATTATAA